AAAGAAAGAAAGTGACTCTCTTAAACTAGATCATCTACTCTTGGAAGAGAAGACTAAGAACGCAGTTTGGGAGTTGATTCAAATCCCGGTTTTGCCATTTCCTCTGCACAGGGGCCATTCTTTTGAGCACAGCTGAAGGATAAACAGGTGATCAAAATCAAACGAAGTCTCTTCTGGTCTGGGTTCAAAGTTAAGACTCACTTCTGCCCACACCCATGGTCCCAAGAAAATTACACAGCCCTGTCTTGTGTGGAAAATGAGGCAGGAAGAGCATCGCTCTCCACCCTGTCTCAAACCCGCCACCTCTCCACCTTTGCTGTCACCACCTCCACCTCATTACCACCATCTATTTTTAAAACCATCCCAGCCCAAGCCTCCACGAGGCCGCGGGCTTCCAGCTTCCCTCCTACAATCCATCCTACACTCTGCGACCAGCGCCGTCTTGACAAGCCCCAGCCCCTCCTGGATGCTAGATGAAGCTAGCAGGCCCTCGCACCTGGCATAGAAAGCCTGACAGTTGCCTGCACCCTCGCCCTCTCGATCTGTGCTCCTGACTCCCTCGTGTGCTAAGCTCCAGAGACACAGTTTTCTGGCTGTTCTTCCCAGAGCCAGCTTCATTTTCCCCTGAAACCACCTCCCCACACCCCAGGACTTCCTTCTCCACCCACAACTACAGGTCCTATTCCTTCACAATTTCCTGACTCTCCCATAGGCCCCTAAAATGCCCATGAGAAGCGTTCGTGCCTGTTTTGTTCACAAATGTCACAAGAGCCCTGTCAGCCTACAAGAGAGAGTTGATGGAAATTTAGCTTGATAAGTGAGCAGCTATCACTCCCAGAGTGTTTCATAGGAGCCTGACGATGTACTGAGTGACTCAGCACATCACCGCTTCAAAACCACCACCAGACTGCTGCGGTCGGAAGCCATAACTGTCTTCCTCGTCCTTCCTGAACTTACTTGCTAGTTCCCTCAGCTGAGTGGCAGGCTCTCTAGACGTTTCACAGGTGGAGGTGGGATGGCCCAATGATACAGGACCTCAAAGCACCCCTAAGGGATGCCCTCTCCAGGCCTGAGCCTCAAACCTTCATGCCTTAATTAAGAGACTCTGATCCACACCCTCTGCTCAGGCCCTCAGGCTGTGCATCCCCAAGCCACACACATCACACTCAGATGCAGGACAAGCATCTCACGTCTCTGCCACTGATCTTACCAAAAGTGGAAGTTTCTGTGATTTCCACGCAGTCAGCAGAGGCAGGAAAACAAAACTCCGGCACCAAGCATTTGGTTCTGTGCCATTCTTTTTACCACCAGACATCCAGAAGCATCCTTTTAAAGCAAAGTATATTCTCTCGCAAACCAGGGGAGTAATGATGGCTGCAACAATCCAATTATGTCCCAGACCTGTGCTTTTAATGTAATCAGGAAGTAATTATAGCAAAGGAGCAGAGCAGTACTGGACATACTAAAAGTCACTGAGCCTGAGGAGTGGACCTCGTTTCACCCAGCATTTTCCAGCACTCAGGAATGTGCTGGAATTGTTAATAGTTATTTTGCACTTGGTAAGTGATTCAGGATTTAGCCACAGTCTCCAGATGGTTGGGATAGGAGAGGAGGGGAAGGGAGCCGAATGGAGGGAGGGTGGGAATAAATCATATCTGTTACTCGAATGAACAGCCAGCTACCTGCAGGGACTTCCTCCATCTTCTGGTCACTGTGTGGCCACCCTGTGGTTCCCACCCAAAGGAAACCACTAAGGTAAAACTGTATGTTTATATGTGTTCTGCACATGGGCTTGTGTGCGAGGTGCAGTGCTTTAAAGGTGAGATAGTTTTAATCAGACATAGATTCTCAAAGCTTTTACCTTTCAAAGTGATCAGCCACCATCTCCACTCACACCCCCGAATTCTCCCCTTTCCCCTTGAAACTGTCCCCCCTTTTAATCCTCCCACTAAGATCCTGCTTAAAGCTCAGCTGTCTGGGGCTCCCCTCTCAGCTGTCTGGGGCTCCCTGTCACTGAAGCCTCCTCTAGGACTTTTCAGGGTTCACCTCACAGGGTACCCCGCATGCTCCTGGGTTCCTCTTCTTCTGAACTTCACTCCTGCCTTCCTGTAGCTGCCCATGGCTGTGTGAGTGACCAATTGGTACATCAGGGCTGGAAGTGCTCTTTTCCATTATTTTCACCATCGAACCTACTGGAGATTTTATTTGCAGGTGACACGTGCCTGTCTCCCCTCATCGGGAGGGAAGCTCCATCAGAGCATTGACTTATGTCCTTTTTGTTCACTGTGGCTCCCTCAGCCACTGAGCAGCAACTTGCATAGGGCAGGCATCAGGACCTGGGTGTGACCAGGAGGGGGTCTGTCACAGGCAAGAGGAACAGGGATCCCAAAGAAAAACACCTGAGTCTGCTTGCAGTTTGCAGCCCCCCAGGAGTTTGCAGACAGGGAGAAAGAAAAACTCCCTAAATGGTATTGGAATTCCCCAAACCCATCAGCAAAAAAATGTCTCCAACTCCTGGCAGCCCTAGAGGGTGTCTGTCCAGCCCCTGAGGGCCCACACTGCCACAACCTTCACACCACTTCTCCCAGGCTCCTCTTCACCTGAACGCCTTGGATGTGTGGGTGGAATAGTGCCCGACCCCTAGTACTTCAGTCTGAGTGCATTTTGAGGTAGGGAGATTACGGTAAAATGAGGTCCTCAATGTGGGCTGTGATCCAATCCCTACGAGGAGGGAAAGACACAGGCAGAGGGGCCCTGTGACTAGGAGGCGCCACAAGCCAAGGAGACCAGCCCTCCAGAACTGCCCCTTCTCGCCTCACTCCCCTTTGGTCTTTGTGCTTTGGTGTGGAAGAGAGAAGAAAGTTAAAACAACACTGGAAACCCCAAAGGGCTATGTTAAGGATGCCTCCATGGAACAGGTCAGCAAACTGATCCTTGAAAGGGATATGCATAAAGGAAGGGAAGGGGTTAAAATTAAAAAAAAGAGGGGGGGGCAAAGAAACCAACCTAGATATCATACGTTGACTTTTTTTATATTTGGTATTTGTAAGTCTTTTTAAAAAATTTTTTTCAGGCCATTTTGTTCCTTAAAAAACAAGAAAAGCAACCAACAGCAAAACTCTGTACAAGTATAACAAACATTAGAAATATGCATCATTCCAAAATAGTTACAAGAAAATTACAGTTTGAGAGTCCACATCAATGCATCCTACTTCTGGGCCCTCCGGGGGAAGCGACTGGAGGGCTCCACTGTCACACGAGGTCGGAGAGCTCAGCGCTTGCGCTTCTGACGCAAGTCAGCATCTGTCACCAAGAACGGCTTAGCTCAACAAGCACGGTCAAGCAGCTCAGAAGCAAACAGGCATTTCCACCTAGAGGGAACGCAGAGGTGAGTGAGCTGCGTGGTCAGCCCCCACCTGCGGCCCAGGAGCCTCTGGAGCCTGGGACATGACCAAGTCTAGTCCAGTGGAGTCCATTATGCCCAAGTCTAGCTGGCGATCAGTCGCTCCATGGAAAATCATCTTCCGGCGCCAATCATCACAAGACTTGACTTTGGAGACAAAAGCCCTTGTTTGTGGGAGAAGCGATCGATCACAGGCCTGAATCTCTGGAGCCAGCTCCTTAGTCCTTTCACTGACAGTCAGCCCCATTCAGGCTGCTTTGCTGTGGGTGACCACGCAGTTCTAAGCAGGGGAGCCAAGCCATCCCTACCCTACCACCCACTCCTCAGATTTTAGGTCACTGTGGCTGGGAAGGTTGGTTGGGCCGAGGCCAAAAGCACACTCCACTTCTCCGTGACCATCTCCGGCCCCTATGTCCTTATGGTTACACACTAATCTTCCCTTTTCCATCACTGAGCTATCAAGACCCTCACCAACTCCGCTGGCCCTCCCAGCCCTCTCCAGGGTGCACAAGAGCAAGCACCCTGACCTCATGTGACCTGCCCATTTGGAACCCAGAAATCTCCCCCACAAACCTTCCTCCCTAGATTAGCAGTGTCATCCAAGAGGGGCATGTAGACCCGTGTCCCCAGCCCATGCCAAGCAAGAGGGACTCAGCTTTCTGGCTTTTGCAGAAAACTATGTTTTGATTATGGTTGCTTTCATCTTTTAAGGGGATTTTCCAGCCCAGCCCTTCCCTCTGACTTCTCCAAGGCAGTGAGACGCACAGGGCCAGATGCAGCAGCGACCTGGGCTGTGACACCCAGGTACCCAGCACAGTGGTCTCCCGACAAAGCAGAGAGGGGTGGGGGTGAGTGAAGGGCGACTGCCTGAACAGGGGGAGCTCTCGGCTCTGCCAGCACTGAGGGCCAAACCACTATGAAGCAGAGAGGAGCCCCCAAACCAGCTTCACCAACACCCCGCACAGACACAGCTTCCCCCAACGCAGAGCAAAGGCACCAGTGGCCCCTCTGCAGCTGAGGACAGAGAGCTCTCTCCGGCCTGGACACCCCATTCCTCAAGGGCCTGATGCTGAACAAACCGCTGACTGCCAAAGACAGCATAGGAATCAGCAAAAAGTGCAATTTCCATGTGGGAAGCAGGGTTCTCCCAAAACATCACCCCACCACCGCCTCTCCTTTCAGTACCTCAAAGGGAAAGGGGGACGGGACAAAAGACATTCTGCACTAAATCTCTGAATGAATCAAGGGCTTTTGGGCCGCTGTGGTTGACTCTAAAGCACCCATTGACGTGCAGTTAGTTATCAAAGTGCCGGTGAGTCGCGGGGCGGGGTCTGGAGACAGTGAGTGACCGGGCGCTGGGGAGACCCCGCTCCCACCTCAGCAGGACACGCCTGTCCTGCTTCACAGCAGGATTATTACTGTGGGAACAGCCACAGAGCTCCAGGGACTCGGTAACTCCTTCATACAAACCTTGGATACTTCATTTGCTATCAGAGGATAAATTCACAACTTCTTCAAAATATAACCTGAGCCACCATATAAAATAAAAAGAAACAAATCCTTTCATGTTAATGCCTTGACAAAGTTTACAGAGTATGTACCAATAAAATAAATCCACACAAATTCTGAAATTCTTGGTGGATATACAACCTGAAGCCCAAAAAAAAATCTACACTTAAAAAAAAATCAAAGTAATTACAGCAGCAGAATGAAAAGAGGTTTGAAAAATAATAGTTACATCTCTGATACAAATTCAAATTTTGTACACCTCCATTCAAAGGAATGACTGTTTTGAGAGTTTAGTATATATATATACAGCAGATACCGATGCATCACTGCAGATACAGACTAAAGCCAGTGGGCTTTGAGGGAGGAGGGGTCATTTGACACTGTTTTCACACTGAAGTGTTCACAGATTGCCACACTTTTAAAAACACACACACAAACACGGACACACATATAATGCCAACCTGAGTAAAACATTACTAAAAACCTAGAGCATCATGAATCACTAAGTCAGATATTGCACCTTGAAATAATCCTTCTTACCACATACAGAAATGAGGAAAATGATAGAAAACAGACGAGGAAAGATTACATCACTATAGGGGTCCCCCTGTCCCCCCACCCCCCAAAATTCTCAAGGTGATAGTTTCCACTCCACTCTCACGCGTGGGCTGAAATTGTGGCAGCAGAAATGTCTTTGGGGACAACTTCAAGGACAAAAGGAAGAAAGAATTAGGAATGAACAGGAGGTGGGTGCGGAAGCTGCCTCCAATCAAATGCGAACACGAACACTTCTGAGAAGGCTGAACCTCTGATACTAAACTACTGTTTAAATATGCCGTATATTCCAATCATGAGATTCGATACAAAAATATAGATATCTACTGAGTTTTGCCTGTGGAAGCATAATTCAGAAAAGGCACATGTTCAAATAGAAAAGCCAGGCAGAAAGAGGCACACCTAGCCCTCCCCACGTGATAATCGTCCACAATTATGTATTTTCCATCTGCTAGATTCCAAGATACAGTAGGTAAAAATAGACTTCTGATACTTAAAATATATTCAACCCAACACAAGCCTGGCTTTAGCATGTGAATCATATAAAATAGTCTTTAAAAAAAAAATCTGTTTTTGAAAAAAGAAAAAAAAACCAAAACCATAGCTCACTTTTCCTGGTTTTCCGTAATTCTCCAGAAATAAAAAGTGAACTCATCCCATTGGTAATCAGGAATGTAGTCGATTCTCTCACCCTCCACAGCCCCCCATGAGCCCCAACTTCTCATGTGTCATGTTTCACATGAGCCCCTGAACACCCTCACATTAGTTCTAAACAAACAGAACAAAGAATGAAGATATTAGACATAGAAACATGTCGGCATGGGGCATTTTCCTTTGCTGTGGCTGTGACGGTCTGGTGAACTCCAGAAAGGCTTTCCTTTGGAATCAGGCAATGTAACCATTTGTCTTTCCAAATGCAGTCACTGGTGCGAGGTTTTCATAGATTGTCATTGCACTTGTGTTCTGGTAGATGAGATCTACTTTTGAGTCTTTCTGGGTTCTGATAATATCCAAAACACACTGATTGAGGAAAACATACTGGTCCTGTTAGAAAGGAGAGAAAGCAAATGAACAAAGGCCCCAGGGGTCAGTGTCCAAGGTGACTGTCTCAGATTACCACCTACAAACTCGTTCACCCAGCCCAAGGTGGACACTTCAAGGGAACATGTGCGGAAAGGCAACGGGATGCGGGTGAAATCTGGAATCAATGATGCTCAGCCTGGGCACACTCCCCTCCTCCCCACCCCAAAGAGAAACACTGGGATCTCTGGAAGGGCAAAAGAAAGTGGAAGCATTAACACAGCAGTAAAAATTCCAATAAGATTTCTTTGGCAAGTGACAACTAAAGAGGAAACTGGGGTGCAAGACAGAAGACAACAGGGGGTGATGAGGGTAGAGTCGGGTGGGGAATGGCTTTGGGCAAACAAATCAAAATCATTAGAAAATGATCCACAATGCTGTAAGGGGGGGGAAGGGGGGGTCATAGGGCAGCATTGTATATAAAAGGATTAGCGGGTGTGTGCACACACGTAGGCAATCCCCCACTGCTGTACATAAAAATACAGGCAAACGAGGATATTGGCTGTGAGGAGTGAGATTGGGGGAGAAAAACTAAAAGAGGAAACCCCACTAGATCTATTCCTGTATTGTTGCATTTTTTAAATACACACAGGTTTATATTATTTCCAAATTATAAAAAGGGATGAGAAAACATCTGTTAAGCAGGTAGAAGTTGTTTTCCTCAAAAGGGGATAAGAGGTTTTCTAGCAGAAAAAAAAAGAAATATTACCCACAGGACCAATACACGAGGTAAATTTCACTCTATCACAACCCTATCACTCACTCCAGAGTACACAATGTACGCAGACCTCTAGAACATTCCCTGCTAAATTCGAAAACACAGCCCATATTCATAGAGTTCTAAATTGGAACAGGGCAACAGCCTGATACAGAATTAATATTCTGCTCTCATCCTGCATTCACCCCTACAGCTTTGAGAAAGGCCATTTCCCAACATCTTTGCTGAGAACATGCCAAAAAACATTTCAGGGAAAGCCAAATCCAGTGGCCTCAGACAAATGGCATTGTACATATTTAGCATTCACTTTCTCAATGAGGTAGCCATCCCACTGTGACTGACAACTGATGTTCTTTAACACAGGCTGGGTAAGGAAACAGTGCCATCTGAATGCTTGAAGCAACATTTTGCAATTTCACATGGTTCATATTTGAAAGGTCTACTTCATGAGCTTATTTGAAGGATGGTCAGATCTCCTTAGAAACAGGGAGAAAAATGACAATATTATGAGTTTCCAACCTGGATGGCAAAGTTCAAAGACTTGCAAAGATGTTTTGGGGAGTCAGGGTGAGTGGGGTGAGGAACCCTGATACCATCTAAGTTTATAGCCTATTACTGAAATCAGAACCCACTGTTGTTGAGGAATTCAATCCCAAATCAGTTTTCTTAAAGAAATCACAGCCAAGAACCAGGAAGACCTGGAAAGGGGAAATAGTTTAAACACAAGTATATGACACAAGGCAGCCTTTTAAAAATTAATGGGGGGAAATAAATAAAAATGACTGATTGAAGGGCGGGCTGTCAAACACAGATCTTGTTCTCACCTCTGTTTGCACCATTAATGGCCTGTGCATTCGGAGGTCATATACGATCCCATACACATCCACAGAGTTCTCATTCTCAATCTGGTAGATGAGACGATCGATGGCAATGAAGGTGCCTGTCCTTCCCACCCCGGCACTGAAAAGGAGAAATGAGCACACTCTAGTGGGTGACTTTTATTGCCAAGCTTATAAATTTCCGTGTGTGTGTGTGTGTGTGTGTATACACAAATTTATCTTGTTCTCACTAAGACTTTGCAGGCGATACACAGCATCATTAAACATCTGCTCAGTCAGACTGTGGCAGCTTGGGACTGGGACCCAATTCCTAAAATTACTTTTGCGTCAAATGCCACAAATGGAAGCTTGCTAGAGCTTTCTGAATCTCAGTCCCCTTTGAGTTGCCACCATGACCTAGAAGGACCCGTTTCATCCACTGATTCCCCAGAAGGTAGCAAAGGCCCGCCTGCCTTCTGTTCCTAAATGAATTCTTTTGGTTTTGCGATCTAACTTCCTGCTGTTCCAGAGAAGGCAGTGGCAAGCTTTCTCTGTGAAGGGCCAGGGAGTAAGTATCTTCTGTTTTGTAGACCAAATGCGCTTTCTGCCATGGCAACATGGAGGTAACTAGCGACAACAGGCAGACAAGTGGCAAGGCTGTACAGGCAGGAAACAGATGGAGGTGATACTTCCACAGTAGATACTTATCTCCATAGTCATAAGCTGTTCTCAATCTTTTTGTATGTCAAAAAAATTTCAGACATGAATACAGTGACCTACAGCTATGTGTTTCAACACTGTTAAACAACAACCAAAATGCTGGATGAACTTCGGGGTTCTCTATGCACTGTCTCCCCCACCCCCACTGGTGGACACAGGTAGATTAGCAGGTGGAAGCTGGGCCTGACGAAGGGGGGTCCTGGAGCCCCCTGCTACAAAGACACACTGGACTTATACATGGGGGTCTAAATCTCAGCTGGCTGATCAATTTGAGCATGTTGCTTTACAAGAAGGTCTTAAAGTTATTTTCTGGTAGGATTAGCATGTCACTAATGCCAGCCTTTTGACAGGTTTTTAAAAAATTTACAGCTAAACAAGGTTAGATTTTAGCCCTATTTTAAAGGTTTCTACATTTTTGTTTTACAAAGCTGCTTATTGGTTCCCACTGTTTTCCTCATCCCTACTTTTTGGGGAGCCGGAGACAGAACTAGCCTCCAAACACTTGTCTTATATCCTTATTCTCCAAGTGTGAAGTACTGTGTCTTTGTTAAAGATTCTAGTTATTTTTAGTTCTAGAATAATCACCAAGCCCCATCTTCATTCCTAAAAAAACATGCTGACGGAGGGCAGGTTGCAGAATGATGTGGATATCATAAAACCCGTCTAGAATTTAAAGCCATATAAATCCACAGAAATATTCACACACTTAATAAAATATAAAAGCACAGAAGGAAAGGACACAGAGCACAGTTACTTGTGCCGGAGACTATTAATGGAGGCTTTAAAGATCTAGAGTGCAGGCCCTCCCTTGTGGCGCAGCGGGTTAAAGCACAGCACTGAGAAGTCTGGGCTACTTCCCCATGGGTTCGATTCCCGCCTGCCCCGGAGGTGACCACATGGCGTGGCAGACCTCTCCTGGCCCGCCCGCTGCTCCCCTCAGCAGTGTACTTCGTCGATCTGCCTGTTCTGCTCCCTGCTCTGTCTCTGGTGAATCCTCTCACCCGCTGCATCTCTGGCCTGTACCCCAGTTCTATATGAATAAATAAATAAATCTTTAAACAAAAAAAAAAAGATCTAGAGTGCATTACTAACAAAAGAAACACAACTAGCCTGACTATATTAATATGTTATTCTCTGTATTTCCATAAGGTTGAAATATTTTATGAGCAACTACTACAAAGCATAAGTAAATTTACATATGTTATTAAAAAAAAAAAAAAGACAACTGAGCAGATCTGACCTCACAGGCCACAATTTGCCAACTCCAAAGTCTTGGGAAATGACAAAGTCCCTTATCCAAACCTTACTTGAATCCATACATGTCTACTGCAGTCTCTTATGCTTTTCAAAGCATCCACTTTCTTATTACATTTGAAAGTTGCCCCTGCAGCCTGCCCGGCCCACCACCCGGCGGGGTCTGCACACCTGCAGTGCACCAGGATCGGGGACTCCGGAGGACCCTGCTTCATGTAGTCACGAACGAGGTACCGGAAGTTGATGAGCAGGTCCGTGGTGTCGGGAACGCCGTGGTCGGGCCAGGAGGTGAAATGGAACTGGCGCAGCGGGTGGCTTTCACTGGTCTGACTCTGAAAGCCAAAAGAGGGGGTTGGATCGGAGGCAAAGGTTAAAGAACAGAAGCAGAAAGGCAGGTGGCACAGTGGTGCCTGAGCACCCTGCCGAGAGGCAGTTACCTGAAGAGAACCGAATGTCATAACAGAATTTTACATTGGTACAGCCGCAGATAAAGCCCTTGCTCAGGTTTGGATATGCCCAGTAAATCTTCACCACATGTCAAGGAGGACATGTGTGCTCCCCCTTGAAAGACAAAGGGGCCACTCCCCAGCATAAAGATCAGAAGTGGCACGAGTCCCTGGGACCAAGAATCCAGATCTCTTCCCAGCGCAGCTGCCTGCCAACCATGTCTGGCATTCTCACACCGGCACCTCTCAGCACTTCAGAGCCCTCATGCCTGTGTCTACCTGGGAATGTCACTGACCAAAATGAATAACACAAACCCAGCGGTGATATGAGTGCCTTGGGGTCAGGCGCTGCCTCACAAGTCATGTCTTCCAGTGGACCTGATAAAGTGACAGGCAACAGCAAGCACCCGTGAAATATACAGACCTGCATGGGGAGCTGGAGAAAGCATCGCACAGAAGACTTTCTACCCCACATCAGACAGCAGGAAGTGGACCTTGTTCTAGCAGTTAGTTATTCTACATACGGCTCCTATACTGGCCACAGCATGGACCTTGAATCACCAGACCTGCACCCACTGGGCCACTCCTGCCCTGACTCAACCATCCTCATGAGGGTCACACTCAGCCACCTACATGTGAACAGCGGGCATGACCATCTCCTTCATGATGGCCACTCTTGGGGACATTTGTACATGCACGTCCATCACAGAAGTGCCTTTACATGATTCAAAATGTGGACAACAGCCAGGGAAATGCAGAGTGAGGAAGAGGGGATGGTGAAGCCCCATCACACACAAAGGTACATGCACAAGCGTAACCATGGTGTGCACCCAAAAAAGGGAACCGACCATGAGCAGAAAGAAGGGAAGTGGCAGGCCAGGACACTTCTAAAAAGAAAGGCACATTGGTGTATCTTGTGTCATTAAAAAGCAGTATTTGACTAAATGCCATGAAGTATTCTGAATTGGACCCTGGAGCCGGGAAGTGCATTAGTGAGAAAACATGAAACTCAAGTAAAGTAATTGCTATTAGCTTTTTATACTGACAGGGTCACTTCCACCTACATATTCCCCCACTCCCAGGCAGGAGATCCAGCAGCCTGAAGTGGACACGTCAATACAGGAGACCCGTCAGTCTTCACCACTCACTTACATTTTTCACCGTGAAGTCTCTGATGGTCCACTCCGGAAGAACGATTTCTGATGTATTTGCCACAATTATGTCCCCGTAATCCTGAGCCTTCTTGGAGGGCCAGTACTCCTCACATTTGGTCTAGAACAAAAACAAACTTTTATCCAAAGACTCAGACTGGGGCAGGTGCCATTACTCAAGCCTCACAAGGTGCCCTGAATACTGAAAACTGGCACCAGCCCCTAAACCAGCCCCTCCCTGGTTGGTTCCTGTTTGACCCTTTAAAAAAATTTTTTTTTTATTTATAATTGGCGCCAACTCCTTTCAATTTGGCAGACTTCCCATAAAAATGCAGATTTTTGACTTCTCTTTAAAAACAAAGGATCTGAACTACGCAGAAGCCCGATTTCTTCATAAAAACTGATCCAGATCTGAGCAACAGCTGGTTCTCCCCAGGGTCACAGTGTCCACCCAGCTCCCTCCGGCCCTGACAGAAGCCCATCCACACTGTTCCCTGAGAAAACTTGATACGCTGACAGCGAGAAAAACACCGATACCAATAAAGAGACTCAACGCCAGTCACTCTGGGCTCCTTGATTTTTATAAAGTCACTGGGCAGATATGAACAGAAATCAAAAGCAGCAGACAACTAATCTCCAAGAATAACTGAAGCCCCACGTGGCAAATGACTTCTCTCTCTCTCTCTCTCTCTCTCTCTCTCTCTCTCTCACACACACACACACACACACACACATACACACACACACATATACACACACACACACACCCTTTCCAATGTTGGGAAGTTAATGCTGTTATCAAACATATACTTGGGACCCCCTCCAAGGCGCTGTCTGGCCCCTGGGCCTGTATTTGCCTTCAGTGGCACAGGTTTCTAGAACTCTGTTTCAAGAACAGAGGCCTGGGACCCACACAGATGTGGAGCTGGTGCCCAGCTCAGCCTCTTCCCCAATGGAGCTTTGCTACTACCTTGTGGGCAAATTCTGAGACTCCATGGACTTCAGTTTCCCTGACTATAAAATAACACTAGCAGGGTTAATACAGAACAATAATGTATGAGGAGAACCTGCCACAGAGAACACACCAGCTCCCTTCCCCTTCTTCTAGCGGTCACTACCACCCACTCCTCTCCTGACTTACAGTAAACACGGACCCATCTAAATTCACCATCCTGCTCTCCATTAATTTGGTTATGTCAGTTTAATGTGCCCAGCAGATATTTATGAAAATGTTTCATGGGTGAGGCCCTGGGCTCAGCAGCACCATAAAGTTTATGTGTGTTCCAATAAATGTTGCAATGTTCTTTCATCTGTATAACAGATTGCCTCCTGATGGGAAACGGGGTGCTGAGCCCAACCTTCTACCTCACGAGCAACATGAAGCTGGGAACCGTCACTTCCTGCTCTTTGTTACCTTTCTCCACCCCTAGCACAGGACCTTACACTGAAGTAAAATCCCCCACTTCACAGATGAAGAAGCGGGGGGCTTAGAGACATAGTGGACTTGCACCCCAGCACAGGCTAGTGAAGGGCGAAACTGAAGATGAACTCCCCTGCCCAGCACTCACTCAGGCCCTGCCAGGAACTAATCTAACCTCCAGGGACTCAGGAATAGCAAACAGAAACATTTATCCATAAAAGAAGGTAACAGTAAGATAAGAGTTCTGAAGACTTCCTCTTAGACAGAAAAGGGAAAACAACTCTAAGAAGAGGTGTTGATGTTGGGGGAACATTTTTAAGTAAAAAAAGGAAAAAAGACAAGTAGTTTCTAAGATGCCCTTCCATGACACTCAAAATGCATTCATTGAATTGATTTTTAAAATTCAAAAGATAGATACGTACCCGTCCCTGTTCAACACATTTGGTCAACATAACAATGGCATACACGTTTTTTTCCCAGACCATACGCCAAAAATCTTTCAAAGTGTTGGGTAAAGGTCCCTGTGTGGCAATAAAATCTTTCCTAGAATGGTAGCCCTAAAAGTGTGAGACAACAGAGAGCCATTGTCAAAGACGCAGGAAGAGGCGAGACGCGATGAGAACAAGCCAGACAGGAGAGCGCCCTCCACCTACCGGCATGTAGTTGGCATTGATGTAGTCATCCGTCGAATGGGTCTGGATGGAAAGTTTGACACGGGAAATATCATCTGTGACATTAAAAGAGAAAAGTGTCCTTAGTAGCGAGAAAAAAAGAAGCATCACCTGGCAACACCAGGGTTTCTAGAAAACCTTAAAGCTTTTTATATCAATGACCTTCTTCAGTCCTCGCAGCCACCCTCGGTAGCTGGGCACAGAGAAGCTGTGTGATTGTCCAGGCAGAGCTGGTAAGCATCTGTGCAGGGGTTTGCACCCTGGGAGCCCGGCACCGTGGCTCGCTTAACCACACCTGACTGCCTTCATAGGCAAAACAAGCCTACCAATGTTAGTTCTCTGTTTGCCCCCCCCCCCCACGCCCTGGGAGCTCGCGAGCTCACTTCGTTTACTCCTCAAAACCACCCTGCAAGCTTGTCTGCCCATTTCACCAATGAGGAAAGAGAAGGTGGAGGTTAAGAGGCTTCTCCAGCAAATGGCAGTCAGAACGGATATCTAGTGCCCCTTCCACCATGGCGAGGGTTGACACTCAGGTGAACCTTCTCACGCTTTCTCTAGTCACAAAAGATGTTCTAAAAAGACAGTACTGAATTCAAAAACAAACAGAATTATCAAACTCCTATGAGTAGAAAGATCAAAAGCACAAAATTCGCATGTTTTCCAAACATTGTCATCTCAAAAACACACAAACTGTCCCAACTCAAGAAATGAAATGATGACCTTAGAATTGTGGGGGTCAGGCTGTGCTTTAAGCAGCACCCTCTGTTCCCCTATCTTTGACGACATGCTCTCTCACTCTCCCCTAGGTGAAAAGATGCACCGATTCTAAACCCAGTAAGGAATGGGATTTTCAGCCTATAATCTTCCCAATGAAAAAATCCCAAACTCTGGATCTGAAAATCTTTGCAGCCAGTCACAGACCCACAACCCCCAGTTTCCACTAGAAGAGCAGTGCTGGGCAGATTCCCCCACCCCAGTCACCCCTCTAGTATAAAAGCAAGTGTCTCAGAACCAAGTCCACTCTCAATTCAAAAGGGGAAGAAGAGAACACACCCAGGAGCCAGGAAACCCTGAATCTAAACAGAAGTTAGTATTTCAGGCCAGGAAGGGAAAACAGAATTTCAAATAAAAAAATAAAATTAGAAAAGTCTTTAAATGTTATAAAAAATTATCAGCAGAGCCTACACACTCCTTCTAAATCAGAACACAGCTCCAATCTGCTGGCAGTTCTCACCCCAAAGAGAGCCCACACAATACTTTCCAGGGAGAAGGGTGTATATTTCATCTTCATTTTTATTTTTAACTCGTTCCTCATTGTTAACTCAATGGTTGTCATCTCTGTCTGTTAGACTGTAGACACTGTTCATCTCAGCAAAGGGGACAAATTAAATATAATTGGTATTTAGCTGTGGAATGAGCTCAGTCAACCAGAGGAGAGCCCTCCTCTTCTCGTTCATTCCAGAATCTCACAGATACGAGATCGGCTGTGAGACAGAGGAGGTCTGGAGCACAGACCAATATATCTAATCCAAGTTCTTCCTGCGGACCCCGGTAACCCTGAGTGAACCATCTCACTGTTCAATGCCTGATTTTCCTCATCAGCAAAATAAACATTTCACCCTCTACTTCACGCTATGAGGGTTAAACCCAGTGGAATATGCCTCCACACTGGGCTAGCATATAGGGTGACTCAGGAAAGCTGGTGGAAGTGGGTATGTAGGATCCCTGACTTCCCTCCCCAGAACTGCATAATTGCTAGTGACAGAAAAAAAAAACAAAAAAAAAAAACGGTTAAAAACACTTACAGGGTAGAACATTATTATAGCGATTCTTTCCTCTATTGTCAGCCAGCTCAGCAGTATATTTCGGTTGGCCAATTCCAACAAGCTTTAGGTCCTTGAAACAAATGAGTTGAGCATTTATTTCATGTTCAAATACTGTATATACTAAGCATAGAGCATGACAGAACAGAACATTTTGGGGGTGCAGGGGTGTTATGGGTTAGCCTGCATGTTCCCCCAAAAAACCTCATGTCCAAGTCCTAAGCCCCAGTGCCTGCCAGAGCAATCTTACTGAGCACGACGGTCTCGGCAGACGTAATCAAGACAGCATGAAGTTATACTGGTTATGGCAGGCTCTCAATCCCAGGACTCATGTCCTCACCAGAAGAGACAGAGGCATGGCCACCCAAGGGGAGGTGGAGGGGAGATGAGGGCAGCGCTGGGGCCTCCCAGCTGGAGGAAGCAAGGAGGGATCTTCCCCAGGAGACTCTGGAGGGGCATGGCCCTGCCCAACACCTTCATTTAGTTGAACTGTGGGAGAAGAGTTTTCTGTGGTGCTATGGGCGGCGAGGCAACTAGCAGTGAGGTGAAAAGAAAAGACAGAGTCTTTTCCATCTGGGAGGGAGGTGTAGACAGAAACAAAGAAGTTACAAGGCTAAGTCAGTGCTGAGTACAGGTCACAGGTGCTGTTCTGGGCAGAGGCTCCAAGACGTACAAATGAAGCCACGCCAAGGGCTGCAAGCCTGTGGCAGGCTGATAGAGGTCCCCCAAAAAAAACGCCAACCCCCAAAGGGCCAGCCTGGGGAACGGAACCTAATTAATTGAAAAAAAGATGTCTGTGCAGATGAACGTTGAGACTAGGCTGGAGGAGCCAGGTGGGCCTCGATCCGTCAGCAAGATGTGGGCAGAGGTGCGGGCAGGAGAGCAGACAGGCAGAGACTCCAGCCACGCAGCCCAAGGAGGCTGAGCCTCCAGAAGAGGCAGGGAGGCTTCTCTCCCTGGAGGCTTTGTAGGGAGCACTGTCCCCCACACCTTGATTATGGATTCAGTCTGCCCTCTAGAACTGTGAGAAAATAAACATTTGCTGTTTCAGTCACCAGGTTGTGGTTATGTATTATTAGGACACTAATATGAAGGAGGACGGGGTTTTAATACGGCCGGTGAGGGGGATGAGTTCATGGCCATTCTGGGGGGGCAGCCAGGCAAGAAAGTCTTCCCTCAGAACTTCACATAACCCCCAAGATATATTCACCCACAACCATCTACTCATCACACCTCTCGCCCCTAAAGGCCCCACCTGGGTTCTTTCTAGCTCAAAACAGCTCCCTAATTACTCTGGGCAATAGCCATCTCCCACTTCTCCGTGTCTGCATAATCTTCACAAGCAGCAAGGTCGAGGTGCTGGGCACGTCATGTGAGTGCCCACTCCAAGCCCCACCCCTCACAAGCTCCAGTATCTCTCTCCCCTGTAAGAGGATGGCCTCCCCACACCAGCATCATCAGAAAACATAAGATAGGCAGATTTCCAACTTTCAGGAAAATCCTAAAGCAACTGGAGACCAGGGTTACGTACTTCATATTCTTCTGCGAACCCACAGTTGGAGTCTGCTTGCTGTTTCTTAAAGTAGGCCTCAAAATTCTCCACTTTGATTAACTTGGATCTAAGAAAATGAAACAACATATTTGGATGTTTTACCTTTATGAAAGTTCATACTCAAAATTAGAAGGATACAAATTATTGAAGAAGGAGAGAAGTTACTCACTTTTTAGGTCTTCATCATAGAAAGGGAAAGAAAAAATAAGCAATTAGAAACACTGGCTCAACCATCTCCAGATGACAGTAAGTATCTTCCCCAAAGAACAAAAAACAGTATCGCAAGCGCATGTGTGAGTGAGTGAGTGTGTGTGTGAGAAAGAGAGAGAGTATTGTTATTTACACAGTCCTGAAATGCTGAAACATGAATGTGAACAAGGAAATCTGACTGGCTTTGTGACTTGTGCATATTCTCTTCTAGATCTTGCTAAGTCTTAAATCTCAAAATAGGTACTTTTGGTAGAATTAGCAGCAGCTTGCAGTGAGCGCTATGTACTTACCACAGGAGGGCAGGCAAGCAGCAAGCCAGGAAGGAGACTAACACACACATGCCTTGCAGAACAACAAAGCTAGCAAAACCTCTGGATGGTCACGGCCCAACGTGTCAATCAGGAAAATGACAGCAAGTTCCACCCAAAAAAGTCTCCATAGACATCGAGTCATTGAACAGACCGGGGAGGGGGGGGGGGGGGGGGCAGTTAGAGACCTGACAATCAAGCTCAAGACTCTAGACACTTACTTAATTTGAGAAAAGGACAATTCATTGTTCTTTGCATCTTTCCTGTTTTGAAAGAAAAAAAACCCATTAGACAAAAAAATAATAATAATTCTGTGTTTTGCCCCTTCTGTGTATCAACTAAAAAAAGCCTTTTCCCTGGAGCATTTTCAGTTCACAGCTGACACTAAGTCGTTATTCCTAAGTTTAATGTGGACACAGAAAACGCTGATTACAAATCTACGAGGCTGCTCTTTCATACCACCTAAGAAAATTTTTAAAAGTTGCTTGAGTACAATTCTTCTCTACCAAAGTTTACTGTATTGAACAGAAAGAATCATATTGATGCGACGTTTAAGAATTTCCTGGTATATATACGGTCAGCAGCATTGCCTTCCTGTGAAGTTAGACTTGTTATCTCCCAACTTTTTAAATGAAAAAGACTTTCTGATAAATTAATGGAACGAACGAGAAAACACGAGCAGTGTGGCAGGGCAGTGAGGTGTCTGGTGCTCTCTCCTCCATCATTAGCTAAACCTACCGAGTTGTGTTATTCAAAAACTTTCCGGAAGGCAAAGTACCAAAATCAAAAGCCGATACAAACCACCGACCCAGCAACTGCCTGGCTTGGAAGTTGGCTGAACGGAGAAATGATGAATATGCCCCAAAACTTAGGCACAAGGATAAGTAACTAGCAAAAAAAAAAAAAAAAACCTTGACTATCTCTAAGTGTTTGGTTGAATCATTTCTACACAGTTGAATACTATAACTCTTAAATTCCTTCTTAAAGTAAAGAAGAAATGAAGTTGTCCACTGTGCATTAAAGCAGATCAGGAAGTAAGTACATGGTTCTTTTTATGTGTCTGTGTATTCCTGAGCTTGCCCATCACATCAACAGTCACAGTGATTTTGTGTACAGAATTAATCATTTTCTTGGCTCATCTTTTCTGAATTTTTGGGTCATCAACATGTATTACTTTAGCAAGAGGCAATAAAGCTGTTTGACTCTGCTACCAAGCCCTCCACTGCAAAACATCAAAATAGAATCGAATGCAAAGAACTGGCCTAGGAGCATTGCCTGTCAGGTGAAGAGGGCAAGACAGTGGCAGAAGCACCAGGCAGGGTCTTTGTGGGTGGACCTGGGGGGTTCCTGATGACAGAGCATGAGTCCCAGTGAATGCACAGGCTTCACATGCCACAAGGCCAGGCAGGAGGTGATGCGGGGAAATGCAAAACCAAGTTGAAATCCATTTCCACACTGCTTGCACACCGCCTCCTCATCCCACCACACAGTAGAGCCTCCTGAGTGGGATGATTCATGGCAGGCACAACCCAGTTACCCAGTAAGCTCAAAACAAAAAGCTGCTATTTTTACTTCTGAACCCCCTCTAACGGTGTTCAGATGAAATAACAGCAGAGAGACAAGACATCGTGTGAAGCGCTTTAACACTCCTGGGCATCGTGAGGGATGTTATCCCCACAGCAAAGATGAGGATGTCGTTAATAAGGCTGAGCACTTCACATCTAGTCAGAGACAGAGAAGGTGTTCAAACGGAGCTAACACTGGCCCGAATCTCCTGACCCAGGAGCTGAGTTGTGAAGGAGAGGGTACCCCTGGGAGGACATCATCCCACATTGCAGTGCTCACCCAGGACCTGATGCAGGGCTGGGATCTGATTGCAAATACTGCAGTTCAGAGGTGGAGAGGAGATAGAATTAGCCAGGCGGCGGGGACTGGATGGGGGGATGCCAGGGCTCATTTGCCCGATGCACGATTATCTGAAATTTTCCATAATAAAGAGCTCCCTTGAAAAGAGGGGTTTTGAAGGCCTTGAGTGCTAACCAGAGAAATGAGGTATGAGAGGGGTGCAGGGTACATCAGGGACCATGGCGGGGCCTGGGGTGCTTCACTGGTGAGTAAGCTACAGTGACCCCTGAAGGGGGCAATCCTTTTCTTCCAAAACACAAATGAGGATGTAATCCAAAAGGACTTCAATTTAAAAAATGGGGTTTCATCATTTGCATGAGCAAGTCACCTTTTCTTCCTCCAGAAGATGAAGCCTCCCACGGACACGATAGCCAGAGCACCGAAGATACATCCAAAAACTGCTCCACAGATGACGCCTGGGAAGAGCCCAAACAGGAAGCACTTCAAGAGGAGTGCGTGACCCACCGGCCCGGGGTGCTCACGTGTGCATGTACACACACACGCACGCACGCACACACGCTCAGTTCTATTGCTGTGCACCTCGAACTAGTGTTGGCATCTGGCCAGGCTCTCTGCTCCTACCACCCTCTCCCCCCAACACCGTCCACCCCTAACTGGGTAGTCTTGAGGCAGCGTCTGCTCTCCTCTGGGGCTCAGCTGCAAATTTTGGGAACGAGGGCATAAGTGATGACCAGTGGCTCGTACCCACTGATCTCTTCAGTGATACCACAGGCATCAGCCCCGACATGTAAGACAGGAAACCTTGCAGGCACACTCTAGTTGGGGTCACGGCCATGGGGAGTGTGCAATCTGGAAAGCACTAGACGAGAGGCTCCCCGTGGGGGCTGCCACCTCTGACTGCATGAGACTCATGCCCACGTATGAGCAGAAGTCCCCACCACACTGAGTGCAGAGGACTAAGAACCCTCTGCTCAGGGGAAGGAGTCGGGCACTGCCTGGCCTGCTCTCGGGAAGCCACAGTTACCAAGTGTGAAATCAGACTAATGGCGGGCCCCCAGGGAGGGCTCTCTCCCCTTCGGGCCCTGAAGCTGCTTGACAAGGATGCAAAACCAGAATGGCAGGCCTAGTTCTAGGCCACGATCTCACCCTGGACAAGACGCTGACCCCTTCTGAGGCTTAGCAGCCTTGTTTCTAAAGGGGGGGTGCGGCATGGAACAAGGGGGGGGAGGGTGCGGCATGGAACAAGATGATTCCTGTAGCCCTTGCTGATCCTAAGAGCAAGGGTTCCCTGTGCCCACGGTCACATTGGCATCTGCACATGGGCACAAAGAGGATGTGGAAAATGGACCAAACGGTCTTTACAAAGTGGAAGTACCACTGGCACTGGCACTGTGGGGGTCTGGGGAGTTGGCTGTTGGAGGTTGGGGGTGTCTCCGAGGTGGAGTCTGAGCTGGGTCCTGGTGGCCCAGTGACCTCCCAGGAGAAGCCAGGTCCTTCCCGGAGGCCTCGGGGCAGATGTGCAGACACCAGGTGAAGGCGCACCAGAAACAAAAACCCACTGAGTTGCTAACTCCACTCTTGTTTTCTACCTGGATCCTGGGGCAAGAAAACGGCATCTGAATAGCGGCTGAAGGAAACGTAGCTCTGGGCCCCATCGATGAGCCCGGCGTTGCGAGGGTTAAAGGTAATACTGGTGAAGCCTGCCACGCAAGCCCTGTGGGAGGACAAGAGGGAAAGTTGCGGTGAGACAGGTGCAGGCGTGTGGAGCTCCGGGAGGCTCAGCCCCCAGGGGCCGGAGGCCGGAGGCTTACCGGTAGGAGCGCAGAGGCTCCAGCCTCCCGTTGTGATAGCCGTGTGTGACGGACCCGTTCCCCACATCCACCTCGTATCGCAATCCCTCGGGCAGACCCTCGGGGTGTCTCTTGTCTCCGGTTGTTATGAGGTATGTCACGTACGTGTCCGAGGTCCCCTTTTTGAAATCATCGTATGTATAGTTCAAAACATCTGCAGTGGCACGCAGAGCTAGGACAGGCCAGGAGAAGGAAAGTTAGACGAGAACAGGCCGGCGGCATCCTGCCTCCCGAGCAGCTCAGAGACGTGTGGACACGGCGGTGGCGATGCCAGTGAGAGCCGCGTCTCCCGGGAGGGAGGCTTGACTGACGTTAACTCCTGTGAGCTCCACGTGCCTTAGCTCACTTTGTTCCCACAATGCTCTGCTCACGTGGGTTCGTCTACCATAGCTGCACAGAAAACCAGAGGGACCTGGGCCCGCACCACGGAGTACACGCTTTCCCAGGCCATCCAACGTGGGGGGAGCTTCCTCATGGCCCTCTGGTCAGTGCCTCGTCGCCTCCCTCATTCAGCAAAGGCTTCAGCTTGGGGTTTGACTGAAAGCCTTCAGAGCAAAATAACTAAGTGCTTGAAACAGACCCAAAACAAAGACGCAAAGCAAGGGGCAGGTGGGATTCGACAACACGTCTGAAATCGTCACAGATTTAGGCCACCCCAATATTCCTTATCTTCCAGGATCCCCACACCCCTGGACAGTGCATGTGAGCTCCATCTTCTGAAAAGAGATGAGGGCCACACCTCGATGAGGAGACAAGGCAGGGAAACACCAAATTATTCACATTTCGCTTAAAAAAAAAATGGCCTAAGGCAATCAAACCTGGTACTTTATTTCTACATCCTGACAAGTGGCCAACAGAGACGGGCTGGAATCTTTCCCTTCTCACTTGCAAAGATGTTGCGGAGCTCTTTTAAGGAAAAGCAGCCTGTCAGCCACCTCTTCTGTCAGCTGTGAGGATGCTCCTTGCAAGTTAATGCAAATCTTTTTCTCTTTTCTTTCAAGAGGGCATCTATTGAGGAGTGTGTGCATGTGTGTGACAAAGCTGGTTAAGACTAATATCCTTCCACCTACAAGACCCTGCACTCTTAACGAGGAGATAAAAAATCTACAACAGAGGTGGGCACATTAATACCCACAGCCAAACCCAGCTAGCCAGCTGTTTTGGTGAGTAACATTTCATCGGAACAATCCACTCAATCATCCTGTGTCCAATGCTGCTTTCACATTATAATGACAGAGTTGAATAGTTGCAGCAGAGATGATAAGGCTTCAAAGCTTAAAATACTTACAAGAAAATCTGTCAACTCCTTACATCATCAGGCAAATACCTTACCCCCACCACCACCACCACCGAGTGCCAAAGCCTGGGCTTCAGTGTAAAACAGACACGTATTTGTATCACCAAAGTGCCTCAGTGAACACGGAAAGGGCACCGGGTCATAGCCTCACACACCGGCTGCTTCACCCCTAACAATCCTCCTTACCTTCCCCAGTGGTGAGAATGACAGCGTATGCTTTGAGGGGTCCGCTGCTGGCTTCAAAACCACTGAACTTGACCTTTACTGAATAGTGGTTGACAGATGTAATATTGGGGGAGCCATATGGAGGAGGAGGGTCTGAAACAGAGCAAAACATGACCACCCAACATTTAAAACCAAAGAAGGCACAAAATGAGGAAGGTCACCACTGCGGCGCCCTCCTGCAGTGCTGCCCCTGTTCCAGAAGCTGCTGCTGGGCACTCCCAAAGCAGCCCAGAAGCAAGGGGCAGAGCAGGGACCCGGCAGGGCAGACAGAGACCCCAAGGAAGGCTGGCTCCTTCACTGTGGCTCCATCTGTGCCCACTGTGTCACCAGGGGCAGGGTCCAGGCCGCCGTGTCCACTGACAATAGCCCACATTTCCCAGTGGCCCCCGGTGCCACCGGACCAAAGACGGGCCAGTTCCTCATGCTGAGAACTGGGGCAGAAGGAGGAGAGAGACTGTGGGAATCAGGCTCTAAGGTGGGCACTTGGCGCAGGATACGAACATCAGCCCACCACATGGACTCAGCACCAGGAGGGCTTGGCACACTGAGAATGATGCTGCTGCAGATACCCAGGGCAGGCAGAGAGGACATCCAGGGGCATGCTTCTACCTAGGACGTGGCTGCTTTCCCAGTTCACGTCCTGCACGCTAAGTCAGAATTTTCCTGGAGCTGTTTTAAAATCCACCTAAAGAAACCCATCAGCTCCCCTGCCAGAAACCAGAAACGCTCACCCAGGATCGTTCATGGGCGACCTGCAAGAGTGTCTGCCCCAGCGTTTGTGAAGCCGCTCTCAGAACTAACAACAGAAAGCACTGTCTCTACACATGAATTCATCTCACAGTTCAGTTCAAGTGCTTTCATGACTATCATCGGGACTCAGGTAGACGAGGAGAATCACAATACAACTACCCAACTCTGGGCTTGGGGGTGTTGTCAGATTGTTAAGAGCGATGGCAATGATAATTCAGTTATGTTTGGAAGAAAGGAAAATGAAATCCCTAACTCAGAACCATATATACTGAAATATTTACAAATAAAATTATACAGTGGCCAGGAGTAATCTCGAAATTAGAAATCTCGCTGTCACTGAAGCGAGACTGGCCCAGAGCTGAGTGCCCACCCGGGCAGCGACTATCCACAGCTTTCTCCATACTCCCTTCTGCTTTCTTATATAAAATGGGAGGTTGGGAGGGGGGTTGGTTTTGTAACACAGCGAGGGAGCGCACGACTTACAACATGGCAATGAATTAGTCTATAAGGCCAAGGACATTTTTAGAATGTACCATCTTACTCTGCTTTCTTAGAGGAAATCGCTATAGAATTTGGTTAATAAATCTGATGTCATCGAAAACAGAAATTTTAGAGGAAATTCAGAAACCAGTTTTGCAGGCCACCTTTGCGCACTTGCGGCCTCTCCAGGGGTAGACCACCATGCACCGGCCACCCCCCCGCAGAGCCCACCTGTGATGCTAGTGAGGCAGGTGTTTTGGGCGGGAAGTGCCGTCTTGTTACAGGAAATGGCAGTGATGTTGATGTTGTACGAGGTAGAAAAGTTCAAATACTTGACTTCTGTCCTGTACTCAGTGCCATTGTCTAAGGAGCAGCTCTCCAGGTAGGTCACGTTGCTCCAGGCCCCGCTGCTGATCTCCAGCTGGAAGCCGGTATTGACGCCGTCAGGGCAGGTCCACTTGAGAACCAACATTGGCCTTTTAGGGACCATTTCACAGTCAAAAGAGGCGACTGGTGCAGGATCTGCAAAGCAAGTCCATGCATCGTGAGAGTCAGGGACTTTTGTCTTTGCACACACGAAACCTGGGAGCAGTGTGCTCCTCTTCTGTGGTGGAGGCATGTGGTAAGCAAGAGGCAGCAGAGGCTGGCCCAGAGCAGGCACTGCTGAACTATGTGACCCTAAGTCCATCTCCCAAGTGACCCGAGCCTCTGTTGCAGGACTGTCGGGGGGCTCGGTGAAGCAGCGGGTGTCCGTCACCCGTTGCTGGAAGAGAACAGGGCTGTGTGAAAGGGGGTCCTATCACGCTGTGCGTGGAGCAACTTCTTTACCTGCACCATCTCATTTGCGGGCCCTCTTGGCAATCCTTCCGGAACAGCTACAGTGAATTCTGTCCCGTTTTGCAGAGAAAGCAACCGAGTAAGTCAGAAAGGCTAAGTAACCTGCTGAAGATGACATGGTGCAAGAGGCAGAACCAGGTCTTCTACAGCCAAGTCAGGAGTATTTTCTGTTTTCTACATACAACGTGCTGAAGACGTAACAGCCAGTTGTACATTTAATATTTACTTTATTTAGTTCATTTGTTTGTTTTGTGAAATCATATAGTATTTGTCTCTCTCCATTTGACTTACTTACTGAGTGTATGCCATTGCATATAGAACTGTATATTTGAGGTCTATGAATATATTGTGGGGAAACGGATGACTTAAATCAACACAAGTTTACTTGCAATATAATATACAATAACACCGTAAAGAAGTAACATTGCGTCACACTGGTTTACCACTCTGTATATGACTTAGAAGAGGTTCACACCTCTTCAGACATATGTCGCCACTCCACCCCACCACCTAAACACCTGTAATCCTCCGCTGTAGACCACTGGGCCCCCCACTCCTTCTTGCTCCCCATCCTCTACCCTTCCACTCTAGTAGCCTCAATTCAAATGTTAAAAAATGTTATAGCATGAATAGCTCCAGCCAGTCACCAGTACAACTCACACCCGCCCCATCCCCAGATGGCCAGAGGTCAGAACAGTGCCTACCTGCTCTACCCACCCCGGTCATAAATGCTCGCCCCATTTCCCCCCTGCTGTTGGGGGAATGATCACAGCCAAGCAAAGCATCAGTATGAGAGTCACCCAGATACGGAGGAGCAGCGTCTAGACCAGAGACTCAGTTAGCAGAGGAAACTCCGAGCACAGGCCCACTCCCCATGATCAGTCTGGTAAGCTGATCCCCTACCTAACCAGCCTGCACACACTTGAACAGCTTCGTGTTAGGAAGGAAAGATGTTGCACAGAGGCTGGAGTGCAAGGTGGTACATGAGCATGGAAATGAGGAAAGCCCCCTCGCCCTCCATCACAAGTGTGAGCAAAAGTATTCTTCTCCATCTCTAAAACCTTCCCTGGGCTCTTCTCTTTATCACATAGTTTTGCCTGGAGAAAGAAGGATGTAGAAAGATGGAGAGGCCGCATGTCCATTTTCGCAAATATCCTTTCCATTGTCAGTGTGAAAGCCAAACTATGCACACTCGGCTGAGACATCCTTTGTGCCCTGGCCCATCACCTCTCAGGCCTCACCTCCGGCTTCACCCTCTTGCTCCACTCCACCACCCCAGCCTGTACACAGCAGCACACCCAGCCTCAGGGCCTTTGCACTGGCTGTACCTCATCGATACATCCACCCAGCTGTTTCCCTCACTTCCTGCCAGCGTATATTCACGTATCACCTGTCCCTCACCACCAAAAAAAATCTCCTTTCCCCCTCCTTCGTTGTCTTCCCTCTCTTCGGCAATAATCTCCATCTAGTAACTTATTTATCTTGCTAAGTATGTCTTCCCTGTCCGAATAAAAATTCCAGGAAGGCAAAGACCCATTTGTGTCACTTACCAGAGAGTTAGTGCTCAATAAGCATCTGATCAAGCAAGAAATTATGAGAGCAGCAAGACAGTACTAACAACTGAGCAGGTGTCCCAGAGAGCTTGGGTGCAAGACCCCATACCACAGAAACCCGGGTATCCAGTCCACGGAGGCCGCAAGCCCAGCAGCACACAGACAGGAGTCCCAGAGGCGTGTGGGCTACTCACCTGTACAGAATGACTGGCAGGTGGACTCCAGCGACTTGGTGGCATTCCCCACTTTTGTGAAGATGTGCACAGTGTAGAATGCGCCAGGTGTTAATTCAGTGACGGTAGCACTGGTGACACCAACACTGGTGACCACCTGCCTTTCCTCGCTGGCATTTTCACTCCTCATAATGAGAAGGTGGTAGGTGTATGTGGGAGCAGCTTCATCCACGTTCTTCCAGGTAAAGCTTGCTGCTGTGGTGTTGGTGCTTATTTCAATGTCAGACACACTGCTGGGCCCTTGATTCCGAAAACAAAAAAAAATGAGTTCCAGGACTCTTAATTACTGCCTCTAAGAACAGCCTGCTTCCCTTTGGGAAAGAATGAATAAAGCTAGTATTTTCTGATTCACAAGGAGACATTCATAAAATATTTAGATTAAATCTCCAGAGAATTAAGTTGTTTCATTTTCTTTTAATACTTCAAACTGATTTGAGCTTTATCTTCAAGACAGAATTTCCTGTTTTTGAAATCTGATTACTGAGTGAGAAGAAAAAAAAAACACACACACAAACAGATATTACAGACTACCATCTCTACCGTATCTTTAGGTCAAATATTAGCAGAACACCGCCCTTACTGCTGAAAGCCAAGTTTCAAAGCTCACTGGAGATGCCTCCTCCAAGGCCAACCGACAAGGGGACCCTCAGGTCTGTACTCCCAAGCCATGAACGGAACAGCTTTGCCTTCCATGTTTATGGGATCAAGCTCTGCTTCTAAACACAACTCCAAGTTCACACAACAGCTCTAGGGTGACATGAGAACAGCAAAACCTTTGCGAGGCCAATGTTCTCAGCTTAAGCAATCTTACCTGGAACCCCAAAACATGGTGACCCCTGACCCCACCATCTGACCAATCTTACACCCCACCCTCCACAGAAATCAGAGATAACTCCCTTAGGAGGCAGTAAGAGACCTACGTGTGTACTGTTCAATGGAGCTGGAGTTCCCCTGGATGTTGTCCAGTTCTGGGGAGATTGTGATGTTATATAAGATGCCTGGGACCAGGTTGCTGAGGGTGATGGCTGTGTGAGTGCTGTTCTTCTCGACAGAGGAATTCTGAGACATGATAACGAGATGATAGTTGTACTCTGAAGCCCTATCTGTATTCTGCCATTCCAGAGTCATCTCTGTGGACGTGACGTTGACCACGGAGATGTTGAACACCGCACTGACGTCTGGTCAGAGGAGAGGAAGGAAGAAAGGGGTCTGTCAATGACCATAACAACATCCAGTTTTATCAAAGTGTCCCTTCAAGAGAACTTGCTCTTTTGCCCTCAAACTCCCGCACAAATTCACAAAAAGCAAACTCTACAACTGAGGGGAATACACACTCAGTTCTTACAAGGGTTTTTAGCTCTTCTAGAACACTGGTGCATTTGCCAGTTTGGCAAATTGGTTCTTCTGTCTTTGGCTTCTGTCATTAAAAAGTCACCTTTGAGCAGAAATCATGCCAGATGAATATGTTTATGAAAAATCATCAAGCTGTGTAGCGCTGAGTGTGTACTTTTCAGCATGCATATATATATATATATATTGCATTTTAGTAGTTCTCTACTAATTTCCTAGTAATTATCAATGTTTAATCCAACCACAGAGGCGAAGAAGCCTACACAAGAAGACTCTCCAAAGCCCAAGTGATTTCATGTGGCTCAGTTGTCTGTCTTTATTCAATCCCTCCATATAAAAAATTTCAACTCTTTTGAAATCAAAGCTCAAAAAATACCGTTTTCCATGTTTTCCAAAACCATCACTTCTATTCTTTAACAATGAAAGTCAAATTGCTAATTCATCTGTATCAATTAGCAGGATATATAGCATGTGTGTGTGTATATTAGTGTGTATATACATATACACATATCAGTATCAATTAGCACTATATATATATATGTATCTCAAAACAATTGCATCACAATGTTATTTATAAACACTGAATATTCTACCTGCCCAACAACAGGGAAACAGTTAACTAATTCATGACACATCTAGACAAGTGGCCCTTGACCTCAGTACTCATAAAATCTTAAAAATTATTAAGGCTCTTAGAGAACTTTTGTTTTGTGTAGGAGATACTTATATTTACTGTATTAGAAATTTAAAATGAGATTTTTTTTAATGTATTTATTTATGATACAAGAACTGGGGTACAGGCAGAGTTGTAGGGGAAGAGGTGGTCTGAAAGGATTCACTAGAGACAGAGTGGGGAGGGGGAGCAGAACCGGCAAATCTACTGAAATGCAACACTGAAGGGAACAGCGGGCAAGAGAGAAGAGGTCTGCTGCACCATGTGGGCTGTCCCCCTGACCGGCTATGGATCAAATTCACACTGCAATGGGGATCAAACTCATGCTGCAGTGGCTGGTGATAGCTGGATAGCACTGACTTTAACCCCTGCACCACCAGGGGAGGCCTCCTAAAAATGAAAATTTTAAAGTAAATATGCAAGTGCACATACCATCAGCCAGGAGGACGATGTCATCCATGCTGTGTAGCATCTAGAAAAATTCTGTTGTGCACTCATCACAAAGAAATGAGAGTGGAGAAATCATGGAACAGACTCCCTAAAGGAATTTAGGGACCTGCAGGGCGACCACACATCCCTGCACTATACTTTGAGAACTAGTAATCCAGCCTAGGAGTCTAGCCCTTCTTGGGTCACAGAAAAAAAAAGTTGGGCTTTGGGTGACGTATATTTTATTGTAACTACTCCTTTGAAGCACAAAGAAGCCACAGGCTTTGTATATAAACAAATGAGCATGGTAATGCTCCAATAAAACTTTCTTTATAATATAAACAGGCATTGGGCCTAATCTGGCCCTTGAGTCATTACGATCTGCTGGCCGCCGATTTAGACAGTGGAATACCAGGGGAGTATTAAAGGGATCCCATAGAAATATTTATATTGACAGAGAATATTCACAATAAGTTTGCTAGGGGATGTGGGGAGAAGCAGATTATAAAATCCCAAGTTCAGGATCACAGCAATGCTTATAAAAGAATATACACAATGTCTATAAAGGCCTTAAAATGGTTCATGTCCTATACCAAAAGTTCAGTGATAATCTGTTTGATGGTTTACATGTGATTTTTTTCTTTTTGTTTGTCTGCATTTGATGTAAAGATATATATTACTATCAAATTTTTCAGAGATTTTTTTTTTAAATAATGAAAAGCAACATTTGGAAAACCTGACATTTATAAATTAGATTGATTTTCTTTAAAAAAATCACTGTCTCTAGGGAGGGAAATGCACGAGACTATGGTGGTGGCACAGGGGTGATTTGGTGATGGGAAACCCGCGGGGATTACAATCAAGATGTAAAAAAAAAAAAAAAATGTGCAAAATGATTTAAAAATAAACTTTGTAATAAAAAAAAAATCACTGTCTCACAGCAAAGAGCCTTTGCTTACCAGTTCTACTGCAAACTCTTTGGGGATCCCCTTCAGTTCCATTTGGTCCTTGCGGAATTATTTCAAAACAATAATCAGTTCCAGGATTTAAGTCACCAATGACAATACTTCGGTGAGTGGTGTTTTTCATTTTATGTTCTACAGTTCCGGTCTTTATAATATTTATCTTAAAGAAATTTGCATCATTGCTGTCCCAAGCTAAGCCAATTTCTCTTGTGCTAACATTCGTCACATGGGCGTTGGAAACTGGCCGGGGGGCTGTGGAGCGAAAGAAAAGGACTAGATTAAGAATCTATTTCTCCAGAAGAAAAGGGTAACTGTACGTAACAAGAGATTTACACCGAGATTAAATGCACACTTAGGACACTTTATCTCTCTTTTCCTCTTCTTTGTATTATCACCAACAACACAAGTCCCCCAGAAACTAGTGCTCTGAGCAGCAAGGACACACAGAAAATACAGAAACAATGTACTTAAGTTATACTGAAACATTCACAGGAAATGTGGACACATGAGCCCTGTGGGCAAGCGTTCAGGCTCTGGAATAAGAAGTTGGTTCCTGTTTACCTCGATGACATTACTAATTCTGCCAGATCCTCTATTTAGGGAGGTGCAGAAGAGGCTCCTGTTGGCCCCCAAATCAATTACTTCCCTTCCAGAGACTTCTAGCAGTATGTGTGACTGTTGGGAATAAGGACTACATTTCCCAGCCTCCCTTGCAGCTAGACGAGCCCTGTAACTACGTCCTGGCCAATGGGACATTAGCAGAAACACAGTATGGCTTCCAAGAAGTATCCTCAAAGGGGGGGATACTCCTTCTGCCCTGTGTCTTTCTGGTAGCTGGAATGTGCTGTGATAACTGGAAATTCAGACTGCCTAACTCTAGAATCCACAATGTGGGAGTGACTGCAGCTTCCCAATGCCAGGGTGGCAGCCCAGAGCACACATTCTTGGAGCCAACAAGTTCATTTGGGGGTACTGATGGTGACAAAGCTGGTGACAGCCTCAATGGGGAGTTCTTTACTCCTCCTCCTAGAATGACCAATCATCTCTGGGTTCCAGCCTGGAGCCTGCACTCAGAATATAATGGGTTGAATGCCCTCAAAATTTGAATCTTAAAGTCCTAACCCTCAGTACCTACAAGTGAGACTATTTGGAGATTGGGTCTTTTAATGGACAATTAAGGTAAAATGAGGTTCCTGAAGGGAGGCCCTCAACCCACCAACTGGTGCCCACACAAGAGAAGGAGATTAGCACCAGACAGGCACGGAACAGCTATGTGATGACACAGGGTGATGGCAGTCCTCTCCTCAAGCCGCATGGAGAGAACTCAGGAGAAGCCAGAGCTGCTAACAGCCGAGCTCAGACTTCTCGCCTCAAGAACTGTGAGAATAAATTTCTGTTGGCTACACCTCCCAATCTATATGTGGTAATTGTTACCACGAATGAATACGCCAGAATCCAATGACTCTGAAAGCTCTCCATTCCCCGATTAAGTATTTAAATACACCTTGTTTCTGTTTCTGGCAAGCTAACACTCTACCTAGCCTGGGTTTCTTTTATGAGAACTAAACTCCCATCCTGGAAAAGCCCCAGATACTTTGGGGCTTTTGGTTGCTCACAGCAGAACCCAACCCTAAGTATTAAATAGTTAAAAAGTAAAATGAAGAAATGGGCCCCGGAGCCAGAAGACACGTGCAAGAATTCCTAAGGCGTGTGTCTTCCTGGGACGCGCACGCTCGGGTGAACCGTGGGCAGACACAGAGCCAGGCAATCCTGGGTTCGATTTCCTGCTCTGCCAGCTGCAAACTCTGTGGCCTTGGGGCTGGGCTGTCATATCCTTGCCTAAGGATTCTAGTGCTGACCCCACAGGTCACTGCAATACATGGGAAGTTCTCAGAACACACATCAAAACGGTCATGCGGGAGCTGCCGGAACACCTTTTACTGTTTCATTTTAAACGACTGGACCGTCTTTTCAACAGAAAGCTTTTTATTTGCTGCCTATCACTCATCTCTAGGGGGCAGTTAAGCAGACAAAGACCAAGACACAGCTGGCCCCGCTTCATCATAACTCAGCACCTGAAAAACAAAGGCACTGGATACACAGGTTCTTTCTCTCTCCAGGGGTCAAGGTGTTTGGAGAGCACACCAGAGGCACAGGCTGGAGTCTTGTCACACACAGAGCTGTGCTTTCTTGAGGAAGGAACAGGGCGCTGTGTGCATCTGGACAGTGAGCAAGAACGGTTGGCAAAGCAAGGCGAACACTCACGGGTGTATACTTGGAGAAAAGCTGGCGTGCCCACAGACCCATGTCCCAAGACCGGACACACTGTGATGTTGTAGAAGGTGCTGGACTGGAGTGGAGCAAGGATGGCCTGAGTCACATCGGTGGTGAAGTTGAGAACATCAGTCTCCCCAGCAACCTGTATCTCATAGCTATAGGACGAGGCATTATCATTGATTTTCCAGGTCAGGGTCAGGCTTGTGGCGCTGATGTTGACAACTGTGATGTCAAAAACCTGACTAGACTCTGTAAAGACACACAAGGCATTAAAAATAACCAGGGGGCCAAAAAACTCCCTCTGGGAACAAAACTACTTGTGACGCGAGAGACCTCAGCCCCGGAATGACAGGAGACAAAAGCTGATGCTGTTATCAACGCTAGCGGAAGTCACCTGACAACATCCAACCTACTTGTCTGGAAGCTGAGGGTCACGGGCGGGCCCTCCTTGCCGCCTGCTGTCTGGGAATACACAGAGACGTTGTACGGTGTGTCGGCCTTCAACCCCCTCAGCGTGACTTCTGTGTCTCGGGTCGGAAGCGGGTAGGAAGCCTGAGAGGCAATGATGTTCTCTCCATTGTTGGCATCTATTTCAAACACAAAAAACATAAGCATTGGTTTTGCCAGTAGCACGGGGCTGTGGTCCTTCAGCACCTCCGCCCCTACCCCCAGAAGGTGACAACGGACTCCATAAATGATAGCCGGGACGCCATAAACCCATGCTCTCTTCCTCCCCCAGACAGGGACTCGGGCTCCTGACCAGGCCTGGATGGCGGGCAGCTATGTCCTCTTGTCTTGTCCTATGACCCAGATGGCACTGCAGGCAGGTGGGCTGCTCTTTCCATCTCAGCTCTTTGCAGTTCAGTCTCCCCCTCGTTCTCCCCCACCCCCAGAAGAGGTTTTCCAGGGACACTCACAGGATACCAACCACGCATGTCAGAGCCCACTCCAGGGGGTTTCCCCTGCACCCCCAATGACAGAGGCTTACATGGAGTAGTGGGGGCAGGGGGTTCTTGATAGCTCCACCTGCCTGAGTTGTGTGTAAGGAGCTACTCTGAGAATGAAGCTGAAAGAAGAGGGAAGAAGACAGTTGAAGAAGAGGGAAGAGTGGCCACATCCCTTTCCTTAGGGCTGCGCTGCCCGCAGCATGCAAACAGTCACAAGCCAGTAAGTGCTCATTTCGTTACCCAAAGTCTGGTCTCTGCCCCTTGCCATTCCAACTAACATGGGGAGGGGCCCCTGGATATTCTAAGACGCTATACAAGTGTAAGAACAGTGTGGTCTTCTGACGACCAAGTGGCTGAGGCTCACAACAGCCAGGCAGATGAACAGCACCCACCGCGTGACTCACCAAAGCACTTCACTGTGAGTGGGTCCTGCGTCCCATTGCATCCTGAGACGTTCAGGGTGAACTCATGATGCACCCCCGGTTCCAGCCCTGAAAAGTTGATGGCTAAGTGCTTTGTGTCTTCCAGGAGCATCCGGCAGGTGGCAGTGCCGTTGTCATTCTTCCAGGTAAGAACAACTTGCGTCACACCCACCAGGGCAGCACGAAGATCAGAGGCCGGACTTGGCTCTATTTTTAAAACACACAGTGGGTCTGGATGGTGCAATATCTCTGTAATCACCTGTCGCTAAGAATGATAGGGCCGCGTGTTTCAAGGAGAGCTGCTAAAAATATTCCCTTTCTATCAGAGTCCAGTGGACTTCCATCATTTCACAGCAGGAAAAATAAAAAGTAGATATCGTAATGGAGAAGAGTCAAAATTTTTAGATCCTTGCTATTCTCCAAGGCAGGTGGCTCCTACAGGGAGCTGACACGCTCCTATGCTCACTTTGAAGCTTCAGCATTTAATCCTATTTGATTTAGACACCAGGAACTAAACATCCAAGAAAGCAACTGCTAAGTCTAGAGGCCTTCGTTCGCACAAGCTTGAATATCACTCCCCAGTACCAAGACTTTTCAACTTGGGAGAAGGCGCTGCTCCTTATAATCCAACGCCAGGAGGAGCCTGCCATTCCCTACCAACCCCCACCGTTCCTTCCGTCACCTCACTGGGCTTCGTCGGCTCCCTCCATGGCTAAGTAGAAAGAGGCAGGTTGGTTTCCTCAAGAACACATGATCTGGCAGCCCCGGGGAGCCAGGAAGCCGGGGCCCCAGCGTTAAACACACCAAGCCGGCCCACCCTGGCCTGCGGTCTGCAGCAGCGGCACCGGAAGACACTGCCAGGTGAGCATAAGCCACCTTCCAGCATCACAGCTGACTCCCTCTGGACTGTTCACATCAAACGCCTGTGCTGCAAAGAATTCTAAGCTGGGTCACACACATATCCATCCATCCCTCCGTCCATCTAAAAATGTAACACCCAGAAACTAGGCAGCTGCACGCATGGGTGACAGGTACAAGCCATCTCTGTACCCCAGGGGCTGGGCATCAGGCTGCCTGGGGGCCCCACCATGGGATGCCCAGTCTTCTGGGAACTCACAAAAAAACTGAGCTTCTCACCAGGCCAGTCTCTTCCAGAGCAGCCCTCAGGGTCACCGAGAAGACCGATGATGGAGTTGGCACAGCAAAGCCCTGAGAACATGCTCAAAAAACAGCAGCTAATGCACACAGCCCTGCTTTCAGCTCCGGGGCTCTGAGGTGCAGTATGGACCCCAGGACTGAGCACCCCCAGCCAGCACACCTCCCTTTCCTGGTCACCTACTGTCTCTCCTTGGCCCGCCACCATTCGTCACTCCTGGGTTCTGTCTTAAGTATCTCCTTCTATCTCTGTGCCCTCTCCTCCCCTTCTTCTCTCTCTCTCACACACACAATATAACATTTATCCCATATCTTATGGGATAATTTTCTCTAAAACTGTGCCTTGAAGAGCCCCAGGAAATTCTGAAGATTCCGGTAACACCCACTCCTATAGCTCCTGTCTCTCCAGGTCATTTTACTGTTTTACCTATTGGGCTTTTGGGCAGATTCGGTTTAAGGAAATAGTTTCCCTGCTAAAATTAAAAAACAACGCTGGCCACCCTGGGGGTGCAGGGTTTGCCTGCTTTGCAGGCAGCACAGTGAGGGTGGTGACGTCCAGCCGTGGGCTCCATGAAATCAGGCATCCCCGCTCTTTTCAATTTGGGGTTTAAAAAAGCTAAATTTGCAGCTCTAACAGGTGGCTCAAGAATCCTGACATGTAGACCATATAAAAGTCTAAGCACCATTGAATGTCACGAGGTTCTAATATCATTCGAAACACTCTCTTCTGTAAAGTCTACCAAATTTTTGTGCCCTCCAGAAACTCCTGGGAATAAACAACATGAGCTTTCTTGGGAGCTGACAAGCAGTCTGGTAATTTTTGACACACCAAGACACAGTCTTAATCGAGTCACTCTGCTCCCAAGTCTTCATGAAAAAGTAAGCATTAACCAATAAAGACAGTGGATCCTTAAAATTGGACAGGTAGAAGTTGTTGGAACCTCTCGAGCACATGAGCCCTTCAGACTGACTGTTCCAGTCACCCCCACTCCTGGGCTTGCAACAACACAGGAGTTCATCTCCTCTCCCACAAGACAGGAAACCCAATTGTGCAACAGGCAGCTGGAAGGGCCCAGGCTCCTGGGTACTGGGTGAGAAGGGACAATCCAAGATCATTTCTGGGAGCTGGCGGTCCTACCTGTGGTGACATTTATGTATGCGGATTTTCCCAGAGTCCCGTTGTCTGCTTCTGGAGTAATGGAGAATATATATGTTGTTGCCGGGCTCAAGTCTGTGATGTTAGCCTGTGTTTGATTTGTCACCAAAATCTCGAGCTCATTTTCCATCCCATGCTTGCACCTGACTCGATACGTGTAGTTAAAAGCAGCTGTGTCATTGTTTCTCCAGGTTAGATTCACAAAGTTTGGGCCGATGGCAACAGCTTTAAGGTCAAACACCAAGCTGGGATCTGTTGTAATAATATTTCCCCAAAAAGGGAAGGAGAAAAAAAAATGTAAGACTAAGAACTGTTCCATATGACTACTTTCTAGAAGTGAGTTTGCAATCACAGCATTGCATTTCTTTTGTTCACCTCCTGGAGCGCCCCCTCCCCCCCTCACCCCCCAGCAAAATACATTAGACACCTATATATATACAGATATGTCTATGAGCTAGGGAAACAAGGTTTTAAAACAAAAGACGAAGTGCTAGATAGAGGTTGTCCTGTTGTCTGTGACGAAGGTGGGTTCACATCTGTGTAAACTAATCCAAAGAGAACTAAGCTACAGAGTGAGTCTCTCCCAAGTCTCAGAGACACACACATGGAAAGGCATGTGATGCCCGATGACCAAACTCTGCCATCAGGAGAAGGTGCCAAGCCTCTGTGGTATAAAGATGGCACAGAACAGAAGAACACAGAGAAAAAATAAGAGCTAGCACTCAGCCCTGCACTGAGGACCTGCCCCCAGCTGTGGGGCCTGGAGCCACACCCTTAAAAACTCTCAGTCTCAAGTTCCTCTGTTGACAGCTGGAAAACAGTGTATCAGATGTAAAGGATTGTTTTCAAGGCTCCATGGCCTGGTAAGCAAAGCCACAGGGTGTGAGCATCCCACATTCTGGGTTCAGAGTCCAATCCCGCGGACTGAGAGATGTCACAGCACCTCCCTGAGCCTCAGTGCCCTCATCTGTCAAACTGTTGCTGTCTGGGACCTTAAAACAACAGGAGCCATTACAATTCTAAACGAGTTAAAACTCAACCTGGAGGCATCCTCACTGCATCCAAGATCTAGGAGTAATAGCTAGAAGTAGCAGAGCCTGAGGGCAAAAGGGGCCCTTGCTCTCAAGGCCCTGGGGACTGACCCCAGAAGAAAAAGATGGTGCCGCTGGGCATGGGCATGAACTTTCAGTGCAGCATGAGGGTGTGCCTTCCCTGGCTCCTGGGAGATGCAAACAGTTCCATCAGTGAAGCGGGTCGGAAAGGAAACAACAGAAAGCAAGAAAGAACAGCGGTGGGAGGAATCATGAGCTGCAGCTCAACTGATTCCTTGCAGAAGTCTCTCTAGACCTGAGCTTCCTCATCCAGCCAAGTGGCATTTACAATGGATGGTGGTGGTGGTCACAAGGATAAGACCACAACTGCCGTGTCAGTGAAGGCACCAGGGCAGCAGCCACCCTTCTGGGGGACTGATCGCATCCCAGGACCCCCACCCCCACCCCGGGGCTCTGCACACCTCTTCGCATTCATGATCCACAACTCCACAAGGAAAGCTACAGGGCTATTTAAAGGGGAAATGTGTTAACAACTAAATTTTGTGGATTCACACAGGCCTGCCGGGGAGGTTTGGGGCAGGTTTGTAGTTCTTTATAAGTTTCTACCATTCAAAAGCTAAAGTATCTAGAAATTTGTTTTTTAAAGAGGTGTGTATCTATGTATGTTTGACTGAAGTTTTTTAAATAAAGGTGAAGAAACTGAGGTGAAAGTGGATGGGTGACTGGCCCCGGGTGACAGAGCTAGAGATTTGGACACAAACCTGGGTCTCCAAGTCCAAGCCTACGCTCTTGGCTGTAGGTCATCCTGGTTTTGCTCAGAGAAAAGACAGAAAAACAAGTAGAGAAAGCCAACAGAGACCCTTCAGGTCAGGCAAGAGGATCTCATGAGGAGGAAAGACACCAGCAGCCTATCTTTCTGTTGACGAAGCTCAGATAAAGTGAGCTCTGGCCCACCACAGTTGAAGAGATTCTCTAATCCACTCTCCCCGCCTCCTACTGTCCTTCCCAAAAGAATAGTCTTGCTCACTTGTTTGCACCACGCAGCAGCCATTAGCAAAAATGACAAGATAGTACATGCCAGGGGTCAGACCTATGATTAAAGGCCTCTCCTCACCGTCTCCTGGAGCCGTCCCATAGTCCCGTGGTGTTACTGAAAAGTTTTTTGGTGGCCCGTTGAGCTGAGGTGTGGGGGCCGTAGTTGAGGCTGTAACCTGACCACAGTTGCTGCCTAGAACATGGGGAAGAAAAAGAAAATGCAAACTAATATAATGGCGGCACCCCCCCCACCCCCATACTAGACAACAGAGTTTTTATTATGACTATAAAAATAAGTAATGCTGCCTTCATCCCCCTCTACCTGGGTTGAAATATCTCCTCTACACATAGACAGTTTCTTCTTTAGCTGTGTGATTCAAGCCTACACAAGGTACCATCCAGCTTATTTACCAAACTGATTAATGAGGAAGAAAAAGCAATTGCAGAACTCTGCCCATTGTTTGCAAAGACTCTGCATCGTCACTGTTCTGCTGGAGATCTCTTTTATAGAAGGTTTCAGCAAGATCTAATTGTGTGGCACTGGAAGGATATTCTAGATATCTCTATGGTTCACAAGCTTTGGGATTTTACCAATCAGGAAAAAATTCCAAATTTTGAGGACAGAAGCTACCAGTATTTTTCCCCAATGATATATGTGAAATATATATATATATATATATATATATATATATATATATATATAAAGTTATTATCTTTACTTCTTACAGAAACAGTTATGACCAAAGAAAATTTAGTAAGGGCACAATCTCAGAATAGACAGTGCTTTCAACAGAATATATTTAGTTTCATTAAAAACTTACTATTTTTTTAACTTTATTCTAAGGAGGATTTCAAGGAACCAGCACCAATCAGCAATGGAACGAACACCAGCCCTCCGCATGGAAGCAAAGTATACAGAAGACTATGTCTGGTTTTCCAAAGATTATACAAACCCTACACACCACTTTCAAACTCATGGAGCAATCAGTGAATATACTTACGGGATAACAGACATAAAATAAATAATAATCATATCACTATGTCAACTAAGTTTTTAACCACCTATGTATACAGGCTGGGGGAGAATCTCAGGAAATGTATTTTTTTTGGTTATTTTTCCAGAATTTGCACTATTAATTTCTATCACTTGCTTTTCTACCCTCACACTCCCTCTCTGAAGAGAAGTTGGGGTTTAATCAGTCTTCTCTGACTTTCACATTGCTGTTAATGTTTGTGTCCAGGGGGGGGCAGTCGTGAACCGCTCACGAGGAGAAGGATGTGGTACTCACATTCACCTGCACACAGGATCTGTAACAGAAAAGAGAAAACGGAAGTCAGCAATTCATTCGGGCATGGAAAATGCAAATCAGAAATAAAGCAGTTGAGAAGTGGATGGGGCGGGGGAGGGCCGGGTGTGAAGACGTACACAAAGCTGGAGCTAGGTTACGCGAACACCACAGGGAACTCTGCAGCTGTGTGTCAGTAACAGGCTGACTCCCGTACAGGAGCTGGTCAGCTGTCCGCCATCAGTGTTTCCCCACAGATCCTCCCAAGACTGAGGCAGCTCCCAGCTCAGCATCACCACCCCTTCCCCAGGGCCATGTTCCAGCGGCGACGGCAGGACGCGATGCCAGATGTACAACAGGGTCTGGGGTTCATTGTGCAAAAATTCATCTTCTTCCTTCTATCAGTAGATGGCGGTAAACTTTACAAATGGCGTGGCAAGGGCTTGGAGAAGAATGAATGAATGTACAAGGGTCCTATAGATTGTTTAGCTGACTGCATCGCATCTGCCTTCTGAGGGGGCTGGGGGATGGGGATGAGCAGCTCCCCAAAGACAATCTCATCCATAATTCCCTCGCAATTTAAAAACCTATAATAATCCAGGGTTTGTACGTTTCTGTAGGTTCTATTGTTTAGTAGACACGCTTCTTAGCAGGATTTTTCAAAACATGGTTCTTGTGAAGAAAGAACCAAGGGGACTCTAGTGGGGAAGTATCTCCTCCGACTTCCCATCACACTTAGAATAAAATTCGAACTCTCAGCCATAACCCACATGGCCTCTCTGACACCCCTGCCCCTTCCCCGTGCCTTTAGCAATGTTCTTGAAACTGGTTCCTCTTAAAGCCTTTACATATCCGTCCCCTCCTCCAAAAACACTCTGCCCTAGACCCTGCCCTGCACCACCCTTTGAGCAAGTCCTTCCCCACCCACCTAATGAAAATAAGCACCCCACTTTCCATCAGCTCCCTGGTATCGTTCCTCCTCAACATCTAGCGCAATGACCAGTGTCAGTCTCCTCCAACTAAAATGGACACTCTGGGAGAACAGAAACCTCTGAGCCATTTCCCCAGAACGGTATACACAGCAGACACTCGATAAATGCCACCGAGGAGGTCATGAGCCTTAGGAGGCCATCTCTAGGGCCCAGAGAGCGACAGACTCACCCCAAGGTCCTAACAAGACCACACGGCCCAGTAACTTGCATTTACAAATGGCCGAGACCAGGACAAAATTTGTTCTCTTCATGCATGAGGTAGACAGAAGGAAGGGCCTCTCCCTAGGTTGTCTGGTGGTGGCCTGCTGGCTTGTCCCAGTGTTTGCTTTTGCTCTGCCGAGACAGGTGTGGCCAGGATTTGGAAAACCTTAAACAACACCCCCTGATGACTTAGGACGCCAAGTATTGGCCCCTTCAAAATGTGCATCTATGCGTGGTCTCCTCTGGAGTCCAGTCGCCCAGCCATCCAGCTGTCTCCTGAAAACAGTAAAGAGCTGGGCTCTGCCCTCGATCTTAGCAGGAAAGGAAGAGAAATAAGATGTTTCTGTCAATTGTATTCGAGGTGCAAAGCACTGGCAACTCACTACTAAGCTCTTCCAGACGCCTGTGTGTGCCAAGCGCTGTGCTAAAGCAGAGGGCCTGCAGAACACCGGGGCTGGAGGCGGAGAGGAAGGCAGGCGAACCCAGACACAGGGGGGCTCGCCTCCTGGTGCCCGTGACCCCACATGCACAGAGCCCTGGCTGCCAGGTGCTGCTCCCAGTCTAGCAGGTATCAGCTCATTGGCCCCTCAAAGCACCCTAAGAGTAGGAAAGCAGGTGTAGGTCAGTCGTGGATGCACGAGCGGCAGCACCTGGACTGGAAGCCTCAGTCTGACTGCAGGCCTGTGCTCCAAGCTGCCAGCGACCTCACCTCTCAATGCAAAGCATCTGGCAAGAAATACACTGGGATTTAGGGAAGGTATAAATTTTAAAAACCATTTGAAGTGTGCTCCTTTCTACTCCCTAACCGCCCAAAAATTCAGCAATCAAAGTACAGGTTTTCCTTGACAATCTCAGGTAGCGATTGCCCTCTTCCCACTCCAAGGGAGGGTCCACTTGCACTTTAGCTACAGCATCCTGGTATCTCTGAGGCTCATGGTGCCGCAATGCCAGTTGCCCACACCCCGCTATCTCCTGGCCTTACCCTCCGCCCGCCCCCTCTCCCCCAAAATCTTTACCCAAAGGACTTCAAACTAAGACGCGGAAGGAACATGAGAACTTCAGAGGAGTCTGTCACGGGTTCTGCGGGGAAGAGCTTCCTCTACCAAAAAGGAAGTGCACTGGAGTAAATGCCACCCCGCTTGGCTGGGCTTCAAGGGTCGTCCTGACACCTGGAGCGCTGACTGGAAGTGGGACGTGTGCACCTGCCCAGGACGGCCAGTGAGGGCAACAGGGGAAACACCTGCGTCCCTTGCTGCAGAAGCACCACTCCTAGGCTCTGCACCTCCAGACCTCCTGCCCAGGGAGATGCAACACCCCTCATTATCTCACTACTGTGGTTCGGGTGATCTATCATTTGCAAACAAATAGTCACTAGTTGACAAAATTAAGAACAGCAACAAAATTAAGGCAAGTAATTTTCACATTAGCCCTCATTTTTTTTTTTTAAGATTTATTTATTTACACATACAGAGCTGGGGTACAGGCCAGAGGTGCAGGGGTGGTGAGAGGATTCACCAGAGACAGCGTGGGGAGCAGAACAGACAAGGTACACTGCTGAGCAGGCGGGTCAGGAGAGGTCTGCCGCACCATGTGGTCACCTCCGGGCCAGGCAGCTCATGCTGAAGTGGCTTCAGCTGCTTAGCACTATGCTTTAACCTGCTGCACCACCAGGGAGGGCCCTAGCCCTCATTTTTACAAAAGAAGGAAGATCAAGGCCAATGAGCTGCCAGGAGAGCAGAGCGCCAGTCCAGGTAGATAAGGGGGAAGGCAGAGGACGCAAGCCCAAAGGCCCACTTGCAAACAACACCCCCCAAGATAGTTGGCATGAAGACAGGTGCACACCCTAACCACGGTTCTGCCCACTGGTATTAAACAGGTGCTCTGCAGTGGGGCCTCTGCAACTATGCTGAGCAGATGCAGCTTCTGGACATTGTTCCCTAAACACAGCATAGCCACTGCTCACACAGGTCACTTGTGAAGTAGACAAGCGGATGCGCACAGGCGAGATGCAAACACTATGCCACCTTCTGCGCATGCTCAGATGCTGGGGTCCTGGAACCAATCCCCCAGAGATACCGACGGAGGGCTGTGCTCTTCAAAAGAACACAGTCAACAGAAAGCTCTTCTTTCTAAAATTAGCTCAAAGCCTAGTTCTGCCTGAGGAGAAATGGGAGGCGGGAGGGCCCAACCTCCCCAGATTCAGTCAGACCCTCTGCACCAAAACTAACTGCAGAAAAAGGAAGTCGGGGACGACTTTCCAGTATGACAGCTAATCACGGTGACAGGAATATCCTCAGCTCCTTCCGCTTCTAAAAGGACCCGAGAAGGCACTGGGAAGTGTCTATACAGGAGGACTAGATCGTCCTGCGTGTTTGCACCCTGGGGAGCAGCTCCAATCCTGGCATGAAAGAAGCTAGCAAATTCCATAGGCTGTCTCGTGCAGTCCTCACAACAACCTGTAAAACATGAGTTAGGATGCCCATTTTATGGAAGAGGTTACAGGCCACAGTGCACAGTAAGGCGTTCCCAGGTGGGTAGAATCTTGCCCTAGGCCAAGGAGGGAGAGATGAAAAGAGATGCCTTGGCTAGAGATAAGACAGCCCTTGCTTACTTCTACTGTCCTCTGGACAGAAATTAAACCAGATAAAGTACACAAAGACATGAGCAGTGGTGAAGCACATCAGCCTCTAAGGTCAGCTCCCTTTTCTCCCACCCGGCTTCAGCAACCCCTCAGTGAGAAGGGTTAGGAATGGACCCCCCCCCCTCCCAGTGACTGTGACTCAAGGGGCATTCACTATAGCCAAAAGATGGGAACCTACTGATCCATCACAGAGGAAAAGATAGACAAAACATGATCTAGCCACATAGTGGAATATTATTCAGCCACAAAAAGGAACTGAGTGTATGGTTCTCTGCATGAGATGTCCAGAATAGGGAAATTCATAAAAACAGAGCAGACTAGTAGTCACCAGGGGCTTAGAGGAGAGGAAAGGGGGAGTGATTGTGAATGGATACCGGGTTCCCTTTTGGGTAATAAAATGTTTGGAACTGCACAGAGGAGGCCCCTGGGCAATAATGTGAATAAATGTACTCACTATCACCAATATGCACACTTTCAATGATTAGTTTTGTTATACAAGTTTCGACTCACTTTTTTTTTTAATATTAGATATCGACCTACTATCTACTATACCTAGTATAACCCACAGTAAACTGTAGAATCAAGCTCAGCCACTATGCGGGAAAGGAGTTTCTGAAAATGGGGGAAGGAAATGAGTAGATGGTTTTAAAGGGGGGGTTGGACCATTAGAGCGGAGGAAATAACCACCCCAACTGGGAATTAGAAGACATAGTTGGGACTAAAGAGCCTGACCAAAAGCACCTCCAAACACATTCTGAGTAGACTAGGCACCGATCTGTGCAGGGACGGAGCTGCATGTGAGCTCTATGTTCCTTGTCTGAGCAAAGAGTCGTAGAATCACAGTTAAGAGCATAGGACCTGGAATCGAGCCACCAGGGAGCACCCCTCAGTGCCACCGCTTACAATTGTGTGACTCTGGGCAGACACTTAGCCTCTCTGTCCCTTGAGCCTACATCTATGATCAGGATGCTCATCATACCTGCTTTGTTGTAGTAAGGACAAAACTAAATTATCTCTTTAGCTCTTACCACCATCCTCACCACCTTTAAAGTTTCACAGAAACTCTGCAAGGTATTTTTATCCCCACTGACAGATCCTAACGCCAAGGTTCAGATCCTACTTGCAAAACCAGTGAGCAACCTGAAATGCACGTCTTTCAAAGTATTGAAATAATGGAGCAACAACTCAGAAATGTGGCACTAAAATCCAGGGACCATAAATGACTCATGCAGCCCATGAGGAAGCACCAGAACCAGGTCTGGACTCCTAACTCAGCCACTTGGACCAAGCCTCCGCCACCCTTCTCTCCGGGGACTCAGACCCAGCTGGGATACTCTCAGCTCACCCCCACTGCTCACTATGCTTCCATGAAATCCCACACACAGATGATGCAAGGCTCTGCAGGTCCCCATGGCTGGGCAGAGGGAGCAAAAACTGACAGGAGAGATCAGACTGAAGACATCCCAGCATACGGAAAAAAGAGTACGATGCTGTGCTCAGTCCAGCCAAGAGAGCCCAGTTGCCTACATTCACCAGGTGTGTTAGAAACCCTTGGTCAACCAGATATCCAGGCACCAGCTGTGCCAAGAACAACCAACACGGCAGCTCCTCGCTGTTGAGGCTGCCACACTTGCTCATCGCTCCCCTCCCCAGAGATATGTTCCTGTTTCACAACCTCTTTGGTTTTGCTGATGAGCCAAAGCCATTTCTCCTCCTCTTTGGGAACCACCA